ATATATACCGTAGTTTGTGTATAAATCACACTTAGTAAAATAATCTCATTAAAATAATAAAAACCAATAAGTATAAAACCTCATCATCATATCAAAATAATTATAATCATCACTATCATCATCATCATCACCATCATCATCATCATCATCAACATCACCATCGCAGTTTCAGTTCTCGATTAACAATAACCGTATAGGTCAATATGAACATTTGGTCGCTCATTCATAATATCTTTGAGATTATACTGAGTTATGACTACTATTCACGTGATTCAATTGTCAGATCCGATTAACTGGTACGCTTACTTATAATCTACGGGTAGGAACGGCATATCGTGTACTCCTCGTTAAATGTTACGAGAGTAAAAGGCAGATTTGATACTTTACGAATAAATTTGTTAGAATAACCATTATTATAAAACACGTTGTGGTGGTGGAGAAACAACATTAATTGGCCTACCGGTATGTGAGTTAAGATTTGATAGAGTGTTTCATAAAATATGAAACATACATAAAGTAAATGCGAAATATCTATTGAATAGGCTACATTATATGTCTCATATGACAAATGACAAAAAATTCAAAAGCAAATCATAAAGTCTCTTTCGAATAATCACTACACCAAATGAATTTTCCGCAGCGGTTCAGTTTATTAGCTAAGACTACATAGCTTACACCGTTCCCTTGTGATTTTTGGGGTGGAGTTGTATTTTGGTTAAGATGTTTGCCTTCTAACCCGGTCCCAGGATTCTCACGACTAAAAACAACTCCACTTCCATAATTAATACTCACGACGAGATTATAAAGCATTGCAAAGTTTAAGAATGAATTAAGAATAAGAATAAAAATGGAGTATATTATACGGCATGAAGTTGCCAATAAAAAGTGATCCAAAATAGACTTGCTACATGTATAAGGAATGGTGTGCTGTATAATTTGTTCATTGAAATTTATACAGTTTTGTATTGTAATATTTGCATATATTATATGAGTCGATATCATTGTATCATCTGATTATATATCAGTACTGTTAGGGAAAATGGGCTGTATAAAATGATTATAAAATATATGAATTTATATGTGTACACTATTATGCCTTCATTTATATCTACATATAAAAAGGTCAGTGAGCAATTTGACCTTATAATTTAGCAATGCTGCAAAAAATTGTACTCATAATTATTTTATTGTGAGGAAAATATTGCACAAATAATTTATATATCATATTATTAGATCTTATATACGGTATGATTATATTATTATTATTTTATCATGTAGTATTTATACATATTTTTCGATTTTTCTTTTTATAAACTTTTACGTATATGTTATGGCAATTTTTAAAATGCGGTTGAGTGGACACTTTTTAACTTCTCCTTGGTTTCAAAAGAATATCAGTAATTTTTAATGGAAAATAAAAGTTATCTTGAATCTTGAATTAAATCGTACCGGTATTTGGTTGTGATCTGTGTTTCATTGCAAATTAATAGCTTATTTAATTGATACGATTATATATCATAAATTTAGACAAGATTCAATTAATTTCTATTCATGTTAATTTAGAGAAAGAAAATAATGAATACGGTTGTGAAAGAGATACAGTAATAAAATCGCTGCATGATACAAGTGAAATTTTTTTTATTGTTCGCTTTGGTTATGTGGGAACACTATGGAACAACGCTAAGCCCCCAGTCTCTTGGTTAGACCTATAGTATCGCTAAGGTCCTACACAAACGATTGCGTAATACGCGTGAAAAAACAACGTGGTGGGCACTCATTTGTTGAGAGGATTTTATTATTAGGCCTCATATTAAGCTTGCTTTAAAACCAAGGTAGTTTATATTTTTTTTAATGATTCTGTGGTCACCAACAGATTTGTCTATTTTTCCCTTTGTATTTAATCGGCACTTTTATTAATTTATCTATTCTATAATTACATTATCATATTAGGTCAAATGAGGTCAATTAAATGTTTTAGAATTAAATTTCTATTTTAATTATACCCTATAATGTAGAAGTTAAAGGTTACTTTAAACCGGGAAATCAACCAGATTTCACTACTACAACACTGATCAGTAAAGCGGGAACAGGATACAAGTAGGTCAGTTCACCAACCTCAATAAGCCGACATGTGTAATAATTATGTGCAAAAAAAAACAAAAAAAAAAAAAACCAACAAAAACATACACTCATATTCATTATCATTTCGTTAGAAGTTCATCGATTTACTTCATTGGTTGCATGAATTTCTCACTAACAACGGGATACTCTCTGGACAAATAAGGCCTCACTACTGTACGGTTCGTGTCATTGGGTCATTAAACATCTCAAATATTAAGTAATTAAGGGTATTTAAATATAGGCCTACAGTAACGACTGGTTATAATTAATCTAAGTAACTATCGATAATCTGAATGGTATTTTTGAACAGATATTTCAATGTACATGTAAGCTCCACAGTCGATTAAATAGACCTATAAACAACAGCAAAAAACAAATTACCATAGCAACATTCGAACAAAATACTAGTACCGAACTGATATAAACGACAAAGCAACATTGATAACTATCATAACGTCATACTACTAATTTTTTAGTACGCTTCTGTTTATACTATTCAATAAAAAAAATGTGTTACTTCGATATTTTAACTTTGGTTTCAGATTGCATGCTCAATACTGTACTGTGTAGTCGTTGATCATAAATTTATAAAATTAACATTTGGTTAATGAATTCATGGAGTTATAATTATTTTACAGCATCTGAAATACCTTAAGTACTGTAGCAAGCAATAATAAAAATAAACCTACAGTATGTTTTGGTCTTACCAAAGTCTTTGTATAGCAAATTATTAGAAGAATCGGATACTGTATAATCAGGTATGGAATTACTTTATTATCTGCATAAAATCAGTTTTTATCTGAAAAGTATACCGCACCATTGTACATGTGGAATAAATTTTAATGCCTACACGATTGCAATTATCATGAAGACAATGTGCTGAAATTGAGATAAAATAATTTAGGCCTATGGGTTTTAGTTTCGTTCTCAAGAGGCATTACTCGAATTCAAATCGCATTATTATGCATAGAGAAATAGAGAAGGAAGAATTGTTTGATTTTTTGGTTATTAGATCTACACTATTATATAGACGCGCTAGATCTTTAAAGGTGCAGTTCGCCATGCATATGGGATAGAGAGAATATATTCTCTATTAAACCATTTTTTAATCATATGAATTGTGGTTGAAATAAATAAAAATAAAAATATACGCCATGTATGCCTACTAATTTCTCAGTCGTTTAAGTTTGAAGAATTTAAACTCTTGGTCAAGGAATTACGGAAAACTAAGCGTAACACAAACCACTGATCGTCTGTAGTGAATCAAATCAAATCTTTTATTGAACAGACATCATTTACATCAGCGGCACTCAGGAGGTGCGTCAATCATAACAAATAACTTAAAAGAAAACAACTTAACTAGAAAAATATATTAAAAGCACCTTAAAACATATGAAACCACAATACCCCACCAATGTCTATAGTAACACCACCTTCTAAAACTCACCTCGTACACAACGGTTTAATTACAGTATGCGAATTATTGTACCCCTTGGTCCTAAGTTTAATCACGTACCTATTGTATTGATTTTTAACAGCAGATGGAATGGGTAATTAACAATTGAATAGTGGTATGACTATGCTATGAGGTAGAGTGGAGATTATAAGGAAGTCAACAAGGACGGATACATTGCACTGAGCTGCATAGTAGTTATCAATAAATAATTCAGTTGGTTTTGAACGACTTTTCGTCAATAATGACTGTAAACCATTATGTAGTACAAAGGTCATTACTCGCATTTAACTCAGTAACAGAAATTTACTTTAACATCGTCATAAGTGGTTTTACAAACATACTTATAATAATATACACACAACAAAGTATGATTTCATACACACTCATTTAAAAAGTACTAACAAAATTTAAAAATACAATATCATTTAAAAAACATGTGTTTAAAACATACAAAACTGTGCTGCATTGCGGCAGCGAATCTATACATTGAAAAACATAAAATACATTTAGGCCTAAATAAAGTCAGTTTATACTGAATTAATGGAGTTTATGACTTGATGGATGACATATTGCTGTGTTTGAGCTCAGCAAACAGCACCTATAGGCGTAGTAGGATAATATTTCATAGGCCGAGCCTAAGTAATCTGTATTCATTCATCGCCACCTTAACATAAACCGCTTCTGGCGTTTTGAATTAAAATCCGTTTCCATGGCTAACCGTGTACACTTCCATTTGTGCTATTGTTGCATCACACCGAGGGAGAGCTATATGCAAATAGGCCTATGCATTGATAGTCAGTGTCCCCTACCGTCTTCATTGTCCTTTTTTTCTGGAAAAATATATCCGTTTTTATTCTGATCTTTCAACGCTCCTTTCTCCAAAGTAGCAGGCTCGGTGTCTGGATCAAGTTTTAATCGTCTTTTATACATTGCGTCATAAAAAGGCTGAACAAATTTAACAACTTCCTTCACGTCATCAGGTAGAGATTTAATATCCACTTTAGTTCTTACTAATTTTTGGCGTAGTCCATCACTATTCATGGCATCGGAGTACCATCCCATAATCTTGTCAGCAATCAAATTAGAGTAAGCTACATTCCAATTCATCTTTTCATTTGGTTCCCAATTCAGCATTTCATCGCGGTATGGAAGCCCGATCGCCTGGCAGTATTTCATCATCATCTGTTTAGGGTCGGCGAGAAGATCGTCAGCATCGAGTATAAGCGGATCCTCACCAGTCGTCTCGAGCAGGTGAAAATATAGATCATGAAGTTCCTTGTACATGTACCCAGATGGCATTGCAAATGAAACACTTCTCTTCCATATAAGCCCCATCCCGGGAAGTGGCCCACAGTTGATGCGTTCCTTCCATGATTTCATTACCTTAGCTGGTTCTCGTATAAGAAATGTATGTTTATATCCTTTTGGTATATGCTCCCAATTGCCATCGATGGTGTAACCAAAATCTTTGCAGAAAACCACATCTTTCCCGGGGAAGTCTTTTTCTAGCTGCTCCTTCACCCATTCATAACTATACTTCTCCTCGCATCCCATAAGAAACACTATCAATTTATTTGGCTTGTACTTACGCTGAGGCCCGAAATGCCAAGCGGTTACGTACGGTTCGTTGAATATCTCAGCATTACTGAGTGTGTGGATAGAACGTAGAAAAGCCGTTGAAAGTGCCCTGGGTGTTGACCACAACATTACACGAGTCTGTGGTTGACGCTTCGTTTCCGTCCGTATATCTCCCATTCTATCAATATCAACGCTCCTCGACGATCCGATACGTCCGAAGACGCTGAGTTCTTATTCAATTATGACGAGCATTAACACAACAGGGCATACAGCGGACAAAAGATAATAAAACCCCTCACACGCTGATTCAAAGACAAGTATTTATAGACGCCTCCGTTTTCAATACACTCAGAAATGTTTGTCCAAATCTTCTATAGAATGCCCAGGATATTAACGCTGTGACGTGAAAAGAAAAATCGATATAGGTCTTTCCCGCCAGTCGAATGTGCATTCAGACACAAGCGTCTATAAGACGGTACATTGTATAGTAGGAGTTACTGTAGTGTTGTAAATACAAAATTTGATGTCTCAACGTTTCGATTAATACGTATACGTATAGTCCTATGCGTACGTCAATCGTCATCAAGATTGGTTTTAATACTAAAATACGTGCTCCATAATACACTTTGTGGATATTAGGCGCTATAAGCCTATACATATTTGTGATTGATTGATTTGATTAGCATTCGGAATTGAAGGAAATCAGCTTCTACTGGCTCTTGGATTCACAACAACGACATTGATACGTTATTATGTGTATGTGAAATGTTCCGGGTTCAAGTCCTAGTGGAGATATTTTTTTAAATTCTTTGATTCCTCTTCTGTATTAATTAATAATTAATCATTGCATTATTCCGATAGCTATACAAAATCACTGCGTATACACATCACAGTATATATTTAATTCAAAAGCCTTCTTAATGGTATAGACGCTTTTATGAATGCCAATTCGATTCGCGGGAAAACCTATCGATTTCCTTTAAGTTCACGTCACAGCGTTTGTTTCCTAGGTACTAGTATTCTGCATAGCATTCTGATTGTTAGTCTCCCTAAATAGGCCTATATAAATAACTGGACTTTAGTCGTTCACTCTTCTTGGGACATTTAACATTTTATTACAATAAATCGAACGCATCTGCATCTATAGTCTACTCTTAAAAATTGTCCTCATGAACACACATCCTCGCCCCAGGCGACCGAGTCAACTTTGGGGATCTCATTGGTTAGCTGTGACATTTTGCGAATAACAAATCACAATTTAGTAAAAGTACGACATATACATAAATATTGCACTACGTATTTTATGACAATAAAGTAGCTACTGTATATTTATATCTGTATAATAATACATTATTAATCAGAATTTCGGCCCCGCAACCTGGACTCAGATATACCAGAATGGTATCCGACAGGATACTATGAATCACTTCAGTAAAATAGTAATAAAATGTAAATTATTCGCTTTCATAATTTTTTCTGCCTCGAATTCTAGAATTAGAAATATAGAGATGGTGTTAAGCGGGGATGTTTTTTCTATGGATTACTTCAGTAAAGAGAAATTGTGTATACTGTATAAAGCTTTGTTAGCCTGATCGGTCTCAGCCAAAATATGCGTCAATGGCCCCGACTGAACTCTCGAATTCGGGCCCCTTGGGAACTAGTTACGTCACTATCTACAGGTGCCATATTTTCAAAATTTGCTCATCATGGTTGGGGCTGAGGTGGGTGTGAACTCTAGTCCTCCCAAACTTAAAATCTTGGAGTATGCTAATGCATAGCAGGATGGAAAGGGGTAGGCTCTATAAGATTTTCAGTTGTTTTCCGGGCATCCAGTGGTGCTATTTCCAAAATGTCCTCAATTCAGCCGCAAAAATGGTAACAACTTACTCTATCTCCTTACTAACTTTAAATCTTGCGGCTCTACAGTTTGCCAGCATCTTTTTCCGGGCATTCAGACAGTGAATATGCTCGCCCCAGGGCGTTTATTGTTGAGAAGGGTTTTTGAGGGGACGTTTATTCAAGGAAGGAGTTTATTTTTAGGTGTAAAGTGGATACGTATAAGACCTATACTTAAATAGGCGCCCGTTAATTTCACTGTAAATGTGCAACCTAAACACATAATTACTGTCAAAATATGTTACTGCATGATCATAAAGACTTGCTGATCCTAACTAGGGCAGACAAAATGTAATTCTACTGGTGTAGAACATTAATAAAATATGTTAAGAATGATGTTGCTTCATTAGTTTTTTTTTACAGTCATTTAAGGGTGGGGGAGGGGCGCAGTTTATTCGAGGAAAAAATAAACGCCCGGGCATCCGTGGATCAGTAGCGGGTCAGTTTAACAACCAAATTTGTCACTAAGCGCCCATCCACCCCACCCCTTCCCGCTCTTTTTATGATGGCCGGACCACTTGAAAAAATGCTATGCATAAAGGCTATTAAAAATAATGTAATGGTATCCGTAGGCTGTGCTTTCATTGAATGTTTAGCTGCAAATTAAATAAGCTTAGACGCAATAACTGGGCTGGTAATGAATCGTTAAAGAGTGAACTGTATGATATGACAATATTCACTTAAGTACACTCCGACCACCACCCCCCCACCAACATACTTGTCAATATTCCCAACTACTCGTAAAATGAGTCCTTGTTTAATATATTAACTGTATAGAAATGAACTCAATATAGACACTAGCACAATTAGATCAAATCCGCATGATTACAATTAGTTTTAGAAATACGGTTAAAATTACATGCATCAGTAATGTGACAGCATTTAAATGACCGAGCGTCAGCACAGGTTATGTTCAATTTGATTGTCCTCCAACGTCCCGAGACTGATCTAGGCCTACAAAAAGCTTAATATATATTCTGTAGTAACATCACTGTGATGAACAATGTTGAACTGCATGGATATATATCCATAGGCCTCATGTCCGATTTATATAACGGAGATCCGGTATTCTGATTCTTTTTGTTAGATGATTTTATTTTCTAGAGAAAACCAAATTTAGGCTCTATAGCCGGCCCTATAAGTCTCCAGAAAGTATGTAAACCAAAATCATGTGAAACCGAGAAACAGTAAACTATATCTTATGACCTCTTTCTATATTTTTCCTGCTGACATACACACATAAATTAGTACGGTTTACTTTTGTAATATACTTTGCTATAATATGTTTGTCGAATAAGATTTATGGATCATCTCACCAGATTAGCTACATTAAGTAAGTCTTACGACATCAGTGACTGATACGTCATTTGGACAATCTTGATCCGACTCAAACTCGTGTATATCAAGATACGAAGGCCACTCTAATGCCACGCTGGCGAGTAGCCTCAGAAATAAATTAATTATTGATTTTCATGAAATTTACTGCCTCAGCTACAAATAGAATGTTGTGCGCAGACCTAGTTACTGTTGCTAATATTGGCGCATTATATTAAAACGTTTATTTCGGATGATTTCCCTTCAGAGATGGATGAGTTTAAATCTTCAAACCTCTCAAGCTCCGCAAATGTCGATGACCGTCGTCTATCCGTCGATGCAGCTGAATTGAATGCAGTGAAAAGGATTTTGTCGACAATTCTATTAATTTCACCGAGTAAGTTAATAATAACATCTGTACAATCTAACATTTATGCTGAAGTATACCATCTATTATATGAAAATATTGATAACGTTATGATAATAATACTTAAAATCTAATGTAAACATAATGATGTTAATGATAATGATAACGACTGTGACTGTAAAAGTGACATTGAGAGAGGTACAATCCCATTTTGTTGTAAACTAAACGGTGCATGTCCCCATCGACGCCCCATATAATATAACATTCGTATAGAATAATCATCAAAGTTGCCATACATAGGCAATACAAAACCAAGTGCATGGTAGTTTGTTCAAATATATAGCATTAAATTAATAGACAATGTGATGCGAAAATTAATAATAAATTCATATAATTTATAGGTATCAGTATATACCCCGGTTCTTAATTAATTTGTTTGAAGGGCTAAATTATTTTTAGAGTTGATCTCACGAACCAAAGATAATCTCCATCGATTGAAAGCAATCGTAAAACATCTGGGTGAAACCGCTATAAGATAGTTATATTTGAATGTTTTCTTTTTTATTTTTTGTCTTTCTTTTTTTTGGCAATTTTTTTGGGGCATGACCCAAAATCACAGGCTGTTTTTCATCATTAAAACAAGGCTTACTTGCTCCATAGTGGTGCTGTTTGAACAACTCTGGAAAGAGAACTATCAAGAAACTCCCAAGATATTAGCTCTGCTAAATTTTAAATAGTAAAGTAAAACCTTTATCATAGACATGTTCAGTGATGGCGCCAGGACCTGCCCGACGGAGGGGCTAAAGGCCCCGACAGGCCGCTAGTCACTTGGCTGGGGCCACTGGGCCGCCTAGGCCCCCTGGTGGGGGTCCAGGGGGAGAAGCCCCTGGAAGCCACGGATATTTGACGAATTATGGCGAATTTTTATTACTTATTTGATAGGCATCGAGCATAATATAACTTCATGTAGGCTATGTTTTCTAATGTCGAAATCAGCTTCCAAAACCAAAACATTTTGAATAAAACAAGAAGCAAAGAGTACCGGTATGCAATGTAACCATCTAATTTATTTTCAAATCCTCATTCTTGAATGTGAAATTCTACATTTTGGAAATTTTGCATTTGTCAACGCTGTCAAGGTCGAGGTTGCTTCCCCTATCACGATGTATTCAAAGCATCATGAGGCTATCCAAAAGAGCATTTGTCATAACAGAACGCAACTTATTTTTAATTAGTCTCATTGAACTATTATTATTATTATTATTATTAATTATAATTATAATTATTGGCCTATTATTATTATTATTATTGTGATGAAAAGTTAACAAAAATAGTTTAATGAAAGTAAATAATTTTTTTATTTGTTTATTCCCCGACAAAATTTACTCGTCCTCCCCGACGGGGGGCTATAGCCCCCTCTGGCGCCACTCCTGGACATGTTAAAATTGTAATAATTGCAGAGTCCTGATTTGAGTCCAATGTTAAAAGCCCATTGTTAAATTATAGAGGTAAATGCAACTAAATTTAGGTTATTTTGCAATACGTCTATTGGGTTTTATTGTCAATAACATTCGTATTTAACTTTACATGATAATAAGCAGTTAGTTAAGCAAAGAACTGCGCTTATGGAAATACAATTCGATCCTGCAATCAATGTATGTCATACAGGAGTGCCGCCAAGTTCTGTCTTTTTGTTTTGTTCTGATCGCTACGTTTCGTCTAGATTTTTTTCAAATCATACAATACTGACATTACATCGACTTTTAAGCCGTTAAGTTCGGTATTTGTATTTTGTTCTGTTCACTTTGACTCTTTAATAGCATTCTTTACTTTAC